CGTGTGCCTTGCCTCCCACGACTGAGAGAGAGAGAGATTTTAATGTGATACGATCACTGTATCAGGAAGCTGAAAAAGAAAGGAAGAGAAGAATTAGGAAAACTTCCATTGCTTTTATATGTTCCTTTGTTGATCTTTTTTGTGAAACAAATTCATGGTGGTAGGTAACGTATCTGCTTAAGTTTACTACTCTATTATGTAAACTAAAACCAATAAAAGTTCAGTCTAGCTACAAGTGTTTTAAAATCTCACATTGATGAGGTGTGAATTTTGAAGATATTCCTCATGGGAACATTACACTTTTTAACCAACAACACCTTCAAGCAAATGAACAAGCTTTTTTAATCATGTGAAAGTGAGAGCGAAGCATAGAGAAAACAAAATCTTACTCACAGGGTCAATATGTGTCATTTAAATAAGGGTGTGGGTTTCTATAAGGTTGCAACCTTAAACAATCCAATTAAGATGCACCTCCAAATTGTATCATAACATGTAATTTTGGTGAAAAAAATTATTAAGATTTTCTCAAAATCTATTTTTATATCTAATTATAAAATTTTAAACTCCAAAAATGGTTAAAATCAAGTAGATCTATAAACATATGAAAATCTTGAAAATGGACCGTCTAGATAATGTATTACAAGATGCACTATTTTTTGGGACTTAATTTTTTTTTTTTTCATATTCATACATCTCAATGTTGAAATGATTAATTAGAGGTTTTTTTTAAGATTAAACAACCTTTTTCGATGGATTTTTAAGGTGCATATGTAATTCTACATTTTAAGGTTGCAACCTTATATAAACTTTTTCCTTTAAATAAAATGGTAATGAATGGTAATGATTAACATATATACCTTTATACAGAAGAATAACTAGAATAAAGGGATAAATTTCAATTTAGAGAATCATGTGGAGGCGAAATAGTGCTACTGCATTACTGAGATGTTCATGATAAGCCAAGAGTATTTCCAGTGGTAATAGATTCATTCTTTGGCCAGTCAAATAGTACTAGATTCTTGCTGTTTTGAACAGTAAGTTAATTAGTAAAATATATTGGAATAAAGAATCTATCCATATCCCCCATATTTTTTTCCTTTATTCATATTTTGTTTCTTGGTTGTATTACTTCATTTCATAGTTATTTATATTTTTATATTTTCATGAGAGTATTTTCCCTGGTCAACTCAATTGATATTTGTTCTAATGGTTGAGCGGCATTCCTTTTTCCACAGATACCCTTACATCCGGCAACAATCTTTCAGAATGAAATTGATGGAGAAGGGATGAGCTTTGTTTTATATTTTAGAATTTCGGATAGTTATTCAAAAGAACTGCCACTTCATTTTCAGGATAGTTTCAAGGTATGGATATCATGTTTTCAAATAGTCCTTGTTTTTGGAGATCTGATTGCTTGGGTGTCTGTGGCATATTGTCATTGATTTCTTTTCAACTGATATTTTTAAAATGTTAGTTATATGAATTTATGCTACTGAGTAGATGTCATCCTCGTGTTGATTTTCAGTAAAATGAATGGTTGGGTTGTTTGATGAGAATTTTATATGTAAGCATAGGCAATTCTGCTCTTATGTTCTGGCTAAAATTTTTGTATGTTAGACTTGATCCCTTCATGGTATGTTATGTGGCATTCCGTTGCATATCATGAGCAATTTTTTGGCTCTTTGCTTAAAGGAATTTGTAGCTTCCTATAGAATGTCAGAATATCCTAACTGCCCACCTGTAAGAAATCAGTAATGATATCTTGATGATGTATATTAGTTGGGTCCAGCTTGAACTATCACCAGCCCTTTTTCTGCAATTATCTACATCAAACTAGGCAACAGAGACATACATGGATTGGATCTCTGTAGCATATGAGTCCTGCTCACACACATAACATATATTTTTCTACATTTTCAGCGGTATACAAGTGCTGCTTCATTCTGATACATGGGGCTACTTGTTGGAAATGAAAAGTTTTCATCATCAGGAATGTCGTGGTTGAAGAGTAATCCTGTTGGGACTCTGTCATGTAGATCAGATGAAGTTTGAAGAAGATAGTGTTATCATTAGCGGAAAATTACATTTTACATAGATTGTATTATGTAGTAATTGTGTGGATGTTGCAGTCCAGGAATTGGAGTACAACTTAGCAGAAATGAGAGTCACTGGAAGGAAATAAGCTGGAACGATAAAGAGGATAATCGAAAGGGTGGCATTTGTGAGATTGGGCCCCTCTCTCTAGGTCTTCCTGGAGGTCTACCTAATTTTTCTTTACGTACAAATTCTGCAACATGTTCTAACAATGAAAATCTGAACTCCTCTTCATGGATCACGTACTTGATATTCTTCATTAAAGTGAGAGGTTTAAATAACAAGCCAAGCTACTATATGGAAATAAAAGAGCTTCCTATCTACCCATACCTTGCCGTAATGTATCCTTGTCTAAGTCACCTAAAAGAAATTTCAATGTCCCTTACAGCTACAGCTGACTACGTTGTTGGACGGTGCAACATGCATTCCATGTCATTGAAGAGGAATCGTGTGGTGAAACTAATGCTTACAAGATGCACGGACTCAGTTTGGTTGTGGTTCGAGATTAAAAGTTATTTTTGTGTATCTTCCACACTTTTTTGGATTGTAAGACCCTCCATGTCATGGCATAAGCTAATCTTTCCTGGGTAATATTGTTTATGATAGCTTTCCTGTAAACGACATGCTATACTGGTTGGCTGAACGGAACCCAAATAGTTGGGATAAGGCTCGGATGATGATGATGGTGATGATAGCTTCATTTGAAAATTCTATAAATCTATTGTATACCATCATGGTACAGATTTTGACCAAACTTGTATATATAAATATTCTGTTTAAACAAGATTGCAGACGCTTCTGTAGTTTCTTTTGTAAACATTAAATAATTGTAGACCAGGAAGTTATAATTAGGTCTGTCCCTGATATAATGATGTATAGTTGTTATTTACACCAAAACTATCTTATTGGCTGTGTTGTGCTAAGCATGCAAAGGAATACAACGGAAGAGGATAAAATGGCACGATGCCCTGAACTAACCTTAATGGAAAGCAATACTTGAAGTGTTATTCAAGTATCTGTGTTCTGTGAATGAAGTTGATGACAACTATGGAATGCCTCTTCATCATAAGTCAATGTAGGCATGAAATTTTTCAATCAATTGAGGGCGTGGCCTGTGTTCAGGCTATGTGGTGGTATTGGTGATCGGAATAATAGATTCCTTTTCTGTCTTCCATTAAAATAGAGAGAACCCCAACATTCTTGGCAATCCAAACAATTGACTGCATAGTTGGAAGACAAAATTAGTCAACTCAGAAATTTGCCTGAGTCTCACCTAGACTTGGTTGACTTGGTAGAGATGTGAAGCTAAAATGCTAGGATGACAAGTAGATCATGCCTTTTAAGTGGTGGATAATGTTAATTTGACCATTGTTGATAAAAATTAGATGAGAACCATGACATTGAATGGTGTTTGGCCTCTGAATGGTATGTCATACAAGGAATCTATTCTACTGATTTTAGGTGGTTGTTAGTTGGTACTATACTTGCGATTAGGCTCTTAACGGCCTTGAGGATAAATAAGATGGATACTTGTGGGAATAAGTGATCAGGTTTACTTGTGCTAGGAGATAAGGAACCACATGACTAAACCTTTGGAAGTCCTAGAAAGTAATTTTCTATTCAAAACTTTGATGATCCTTGAGTTTTTAGTTCCCTGAATTCCATTGTTGTAGAGCAAATCATCATGTAGACGGCAAATGCCACAGTGCCCCATTTTGTTATCACGTTAAGAAAGAGGGATGGATGTGCATTGTATAGCTACATGAACGAGAACAATCCAACTCATCACCAGCCAAGTGCCTTGAGCTGGTTTGAGACGGGAAAGTTCTTTGCAATAATGTCAAGGCTTGTAGAAGTTGAAATCTTAGTTGTTAGGAGTTGGTATCGTCATGGAGACTGGTATTATATGATTCAATGAAAAAGGTTTTTGGTGCATTTTAGTCAGTAACAATTGGGGCGTGACATTATTTATTCATGTGGGTGATGTTGAAATGGGAATGAAGTTGACAAGATCAATATGTGGTTTGTGAGACATTAAAACATCATAAATACTGGCTTATGCATGCTATTATGTATTAAAGGGCTTACTCTGTTAACGACTATTTTATTGCTAAGTATTGTGGTCTATGCCAAAGTTGTGCAACACTTGCCAATATGTTAACTTTGAAAATTACATTTTATGTGAATTTTCTAATTTGTATTTGATGCATAGCAAATTTAATCTACAGTTAACAGTTTAAAAAAATAAATCCATGATCACATATTTTACAATGTGTGCTTCTGTATTTCATGGAGCTTTTGAAATTCTTGCAATGTGATGGAGGATTTATAGGCAGCATCATAGAGGAATTTTTTTAATATTTATGATAGAGTTTGAATTTTGAGGAGTATACAGGATTCGTTAGTTCTGTTGAAATGTTGATTTTATTTGTTGGTAAAGTTGACTCTGATACTCATTGCCACAGGGTGGCCATCACCATCCAATCAATAGGTTGAGTGGCCATCCCTTAATTAATTACCTCCTGACCCATTGAGTGGTTAATGTGACCCTGTGAACCACAGGTTCCTCATTGTCCTGTTATTACCATGCACTTTCCTTTTTTTTATTCACTAAATACATTCTTGGAATACTTGAAGCAGAAGCTAATTGCTGATGAAGTAGAAAAGGTTAGAGGATTTGCTCTGGACACGATATTACCCTTTCGAGAAAGATTAAAGATTCTAGGGCGTGTGGTAAATATTGAGGAACTCCATCTAAGTGCTGCAGAAAGAAAGCTAATGCATGCTTACAATGAAAAGCCTGTCCTTTCACGACCTCAGCATGAGTTTTACCTGGTAAGTTATACTTAGATTTGTCAAGATTATGAATATTATTCATGTTCCTTTATGAATTCATTGAAAATTTGAGTTTTCAATTGTCATTATTGTACTTGTAACTTGTTTAGCTAGAATTCTAAGATTGCTTCGTTATTTTATTTGTAAAGTGACTATTTATTGAATACTGAGAGAAATGTACATCAGTTTGTCTCTACAAAAGTTTAGTGTAAGTACATTCAGTCTAGGTATAGGTATATAAGAATGTGATCTGTGGATATTTTGCGCAAAATTCTGAGGGGAATCCAGAATGTGTGACAGTCACCTTGTGATTGTCAAATTTTGCGTGGGAGCTCCATTTTTTGCGAGTCTCTCGCCTTTTGAATTTGATTCATGACATATATGTCTAAAGGACACTTGAAATTCATCCAAAATTTGTGTTAAATGGGTTGCAGTCCCTAAGAATGAGGGATTGTTTTTTTTCCCCCCAGTTGATGACATTCATCAATTCTCCTTCGGCGAGCGGGGGGAGCCCAGCTAGATTCGGAAGTTTCTTCCCACTGAGCAGGGTAATGGCTTCTGGAATGGTGGAGTTTGTTTGACCAATTGGGCCTGAGCATGCAAGGATGGTTCAACTGTGCACACTTCCTGCAGTAGCCTAGACCCAGTGAAGCAAATTTAATATAAAGGACCACATCTTGGTGGCCACCTTGCAGATTAAGATACTCAATAGATTCTTCTCTATCATGATTCAGTGTGCAACTATTTGTGATATGGACCCTCTCTGTTGCATGTGATTGACTGTTAGTAAATTCGGATATGACCAGCCAGTTGATTGCTTGGATCTTAGGCGGGACTGGGAAAATCCAAGCTCTGAAAACCACAGAAGGGAATGATTTGGTATGGCTACTTTGGGTTAGATCAAAGTAGAAAGAGTAGACTGAGATGTCATTGCCATGTTAGGGGTTGAAGTGTTGTTCGTGGGTTCAGCACCACTACCAAGTTCAAAAACTCTTCATTGCTGACTTTTCTTTGTAATTTTGGAAACCAAACAGTTTGACCATTTGGAGGTCAATGACATTGGGTGATGCAAGCCCCTTGGTCCAGAGCAATTGGAACAGATTAGGGAATTCATCTTCCAGGGGTCTTTCACCCCACCAAGCATCATTCAAAATCCTAATTTGGTCCCCAGCTTTTGGCTCAAATCGAACTCCTTTTTCAAACTCCAAAAAGTATGGCACCACCCCTCCCACATGCACGAGGCCTGGTCATTTGGGGTCCCTTTGGGGATCCTACCAGGTCATACTTGTGCATTATGACCTGCTGCAAAAAAAGTTTCCTTTTGATTGACAAAGTGCCACGGCCACTTGCCTTAGATGGCTGTGTTGGGTTTGTTCGGCTTTCCGATGCATAGTCCAAATCGTTTGGATTTGTAAACTGTTCCCATTTGATGTGATGCAACGGGTGTGACTCACTGGTTCCACTGCAAGGAAGATCCCTCCTAAGATGCTCCAATCCAGCATTCAGATTTGGGTGAGCTGGTACACCAGGATGTGGACAGGGTGGATTTGATATGAGTTATTCCCCCATGAAGCGATAGAATCTGGCCTTTGCGAGCAGCCAGTCTTTGCTTGAGCTTTTCAATAATGCCATCCTATTGATGCTTTGAAGATATGCCTAAGCAAAGCGGTAGACCAAGATATTTGCTAGGCCCCACACGCTGTCCTCTTGGCCAAGTTGCTAACTAGTCCTGGTTTTGGCTTGGTTTTGTCCATGTTGATTGTCAGACTTGTGGCGAGCTCAATACATCTAAAGAACAACCAAAGATTGTCAACTGTTCGAGATGAGCATCATAAGAGATGCGGGTATCATCAGCGTATTAGAGGTGTGATATTGTTGGACATTGAGAGGCTGCAAAGCCTTTAAGGAAGTTCCGTTACAAAGGTTCATGATATAAATACTGAAAATTTCAGCAACTATGGCAAAGTGAAAAGGGGAGAGATTGGAGATCTGTGGATGTGGGGAAGAAACCTTGAGGTGTACCATTGATGAGGACAATGAAGAGGGGGGATGGGATGTAACCCACAACCAATTTGTCCATATTTGTCCAAAACTCATATGTTTCCAGTAGTTGGGCTGGGATGTCTCAGTCGACATGATCGTATGCATTTTCCCAATCGAGCTCCAAAACTAACACAAAGTTTTTGAGATGTGTCGGGACTAGATGTAATCTTTGGCTATTAGTGTGCCATCAAGGATTTGACTTTGTCGAGCAAAACCCCTTGAGATGGAGCGATGAGTAGGTCAAAATACTGTGGAAACCCATAAACCTAAACCTTTGAGATAGTCTTGTGTGTACTGCTGTTAGACTTATGGGCCTAAAGTCTTTCATCTCCTTAACACCTTAAACTTTTGGTATAGGTAGAGCTGTTAACTGTACAGTGGGCTTTCTGGTCAAGCCGGCTGTGTAGACTGGGGACTGGCCTGTATTTAGGGCCCAAGGCGGTAGTAGAGGCTAGTCTTAATTTCAGGCCGGGCTCCGGCCATCCTCGGCCAGCCCAAAATTATATAGTCTATACATAGACTATTATATTATAAATTCACAATCAAGGTTTCAAAAAACGCTAGGCAGCCTGCCTGGTGCCCAGAACCTCGGGCGCCTCGTAGTTTTAGAAAAACGAAAAACGTCTAGCCCGCTTGGGTGCCCACCTAGGTACATCCGCCCTGGGCGCTCGCCTAGGTGCCTGCCTAGGTACAATCGCTCGTGTAGGGCCGCCTGGGTCTTGGAGGGCGGATTTTTGGTCCAGGCCACCTAGGTGGGCTCCTAGGCGCCAGGCAGACCGGTTTTTAAAACATTGTTCACAATCTATAATGTAAGCTTTCAAATCCTATGGTCTATAGAGTAGATTTAATTGTTTGTTTATAATTTTGCAAAATTAGGACAATACATTTTCTTTATTCTCTGTACACTCTAACATGTCCTTGCTTTCCTTGCTTTAACTCTTCCAAATGGAGACAAACAGTGGGTGCACAAGCGACTCAAGAAAGAATTGCATTAGTGGGTTGGGTTATCCCTGCGAAACCTATTTGATCAAGAATGCTTAGACCTTTGATAAATTGGTAATTCTGCACATAACCCACATCTAAGGAGGCCCAAGTAACCATATCTCTCTTAGGCATTAAACCATTATTTTGTGACTTCCATCTCTCCAAATCTCGTATATATCATACCCAAGTCTCACATGAAATCCAACTCCCAAATTGTACCTCTATGCAACTCGCAAAAAGATTGATAACCTAATTTCTTAATAAAATGCTGAAACGAAACCCCCATTTTAGAGCAATGCCATGGCAATTCTGCCGCTTTTAAAGAGCGAGCATCTTATAACAGGCAGTGATCAAGAATGTGAATGTGAAGTTATCCGTGTCTACCCTTCTTCAACTATTCCCTTAAAGAAGATGCACGCTTTTGAGGGAGAGGAGCTTTGGCCATAGCCTCTAATAATGGTGTTCAGAATTAAGGTTTGAGATGAACTTGTTTATAAGATGGGTCTACAATATCAAACCAGTGATATTACAATATCCAAGCATAAAAGGAGATGGGTTTACAATATCAAACCAGTGATATTACATTATCCAAGCATAAAAGGAGAGAGAGAGAGAGAGAGAGAGAGAGAGAGAGAGAGAGAGAGAGAGAG